CAACACACAAGAAACGAGCGAAATCCGTGTCTCAAGCAAAATCGACCGGACCGCTCTTACAGAGACACTCTCTTAATTGTTTAGGTCGTCAATCAGTAGTCAGTCGGCAGAAACGAGCACAATTTTCTGCAAAATTGACTGGAGAGCAAATGATGATGGGAGGTGAAGCTTTACGGACTTAGTAACAGTATGTTGCCCCTGAGGCCTCTTTTTAAAAAGGGTTAAGGAGTCTCTCGGAAGAATTTTTCCACCTCGCCATACATTTCTTATTATTTTCGTTCAAAGATACCCTTACGGGTGATTCAGTGCGGGTAAGACTCGACCCACAGTTTAGAAATAAGGTCAATTTAAATACCTCAGAGAATTTGTGCGCTGAAAAGCCAAATTAATCTTTGACATTTCTAAATAAACATCTGATAATCTTAACAAGTTTGAAAGGACTTTTCGGTGGAAATTCTGTGAAAATTTCTGACTGCTAGACATTTCGTCTATTTTAGAATGCGCCTGGTTGCAGGGCATTTAGAGACAGCGTATTCTAAAACTAGAAAAAATGATAGTCATAGCCAAAATGTACCTTTAAGTATTTTGAAATCTGATCTACAAATACTCTCTAATATTTATATCTAACATTTTGTCAAAATGGTGGAGAAAAATAATATAGAGTACTTGGTGATCAGATCACAAAATCGGTTTGCACATTTAAGGTTTAACAAAATACCTTGGTGCCTTTCACTGAGCGTGGTGGGCTTGCTTGACAGCACATAGTTTCCTCCTTAATTGCGACTCAACATTATTCTGAACTCGTCATAAACATATTTTTATTTGCTCAGCTAATGTAATGTTCGCAACATCATTAGTATAAAAATTTTAGCCTCGTGAAACTGTTATTTCGATGAACATTTAGAGTATACATCGGACTACCATTCCAAAGTATTGTCAAGCACTGAAGGCGATTGAAAGCAAATGCAATGATGTTCCCCTAGTTTTTGCGATGATGTTTACTTGCGGCAGATACATGGTAACCAGAAATTATTGCTGTATGGTTGACAGCTTGTTCTGGATTCATTCTATTGGATGATTGTTCTTCTGGTTGTCATGTTTTGTTCACCTCTAAAATCTAACACCGTCGACCGTGTATTTGCTTTCCACAATTTGGGAAATGCTATAGGGAGTGGTTAGGATTTTGAGACAAATTTATGATAAATTCAACCGAAACATTGATACCAGTGATAAGGTTTGTTTTGTCTGCGGTAAAGAACTGCACTTGACTTGAAGATTAGCTTTAGTTTTTTTTATAAAGGACATTCAACTCTTTAAAAACATGTTTCGATAGTTCTTCTGTCATCTTCAGTTCTTAATAATACAAAGTACTAAGTTGAATTTAAAGCGTATAACAAAATGCTGATTGGACAAAACAAACAATAGTAACAGAACAATGTATGCATTTACAAGGAAATGTTTAAATTAACATGATAAAGTTGATGATTAAGTGTAGGTTTCTCCCATTGAATGTGGTAGCTTCTTTGATTTTAAGTTAAAAAGTTGTGGAAGCGTGATCCAAGATGCTAAAACACTCATCAGAACAAGTGATGAGTGGATGTCTGCGAGGGGTCTGTTCTGTGTCAAATTGTTGGACTTGACACTAAAGAATCATTTGGTTGCTGTTGCAAAGCACCTGTGGTTGAATAAATTTGCTCACAGTGTTTTGAATCTTTCAAGATGGTAGAAAAGGAAAAACGTGTAAAATACTCTTGCAAGTTTTTTGCTTGGTTGTTTTTGTTTTTAGGAAACTCAAACCGTGAGATAGATCAGGTAGTGAAGACTCACCCAGCACCCTTCTTGATAAATTCCCTTAACATCTGGCATCTGACCCGTAAATCTTCTTCTGGGGTCGAATCTTCTCTCTGCAAATTCGCTTGAAAGAATTTTTTGATACATCAAGAGCACGCCCCTAAGCTGGTCTCTTCAACTTCTCTTTGGATGATATTACAGGTTATAGGTTAACCCTTTAACTCCCATGAGTGACCAAGACAGAATTTCTCCATACTAAAGAGAATTACTAAAGAGATCTTCGGAGTGAAAGGATTCACCAATTTCTCATGATAAAACCTTTCAAGATCCGCACTAAATTCCAATGGTAACTTCTTTGCAGATGGCGTCCTCTGTTTCAACATAATGAAAGAGGAATTAGAACACTATCAAGAGATGATGACGGAGCTGGAGAAATTTGGCGAATGGATGTGCATGTCCAAAGAGTCTTCACCTTTCTCTGCAGCAGAGGACTTGCTCATTGATTGCTGGGGGTTCGTTTACAAAGTTTCGAAGCGCTAAGAAACATGTAGCATGGCAGTTAAGCCTTGCTCATCTAGGCCATAATAGAAAATCATTGTTTTAGCTGACTTGCAACATCATTTATGATGTTGTTGTGATGTTTTGATGTTAAATCAAAAGCAAGTATATGAAATAGATCAAACTGTTCAAACGACTTTGCCCTGAAGTTGTACTTACAGTTTTGCACGTGCCGGGTGGGCGTCGAGACCGCAGCCATTTTAGATTTTTGTCAAGGCTTGCGTTTTATTCCTGATATTCTAAATTGTATTTTTATAGAAATTAAGAGGACATCCGTGCAAAAATCAAACAAAAATGAAATTTTTATGGCAAGGGTCAAAAATTCAAATTGTCTCAAGTTTTGCACACAAGTAGACCCTTGTAAGACATGAAAGACTATGTATTTTTTTCCTCAAATGTGGTTTTTTTTTCGAGAAAAACGAACTTTTCGCTTTCACCCTCTACAATCGATGCACATAACAGGTCGAAAATTGAACACTTTCGCTCGCTTCGCATTTCAAAGATATTACGTCTAGGGAAATCTTATCAACGTGTGCTCTTTCATAGACTCTTCGTATTCTGTAAAGGTAAGTTGCGTAGCAGAGGGGCATTTTGTTGCGCATGCGCCAAGAAAATTTGTTCGGCGCGTTCGGCCCCATTTCGGTATTTTTAGCGCGCTTTTGCGGGTTTTCAACTGAGCGATCGACACCTTTCTGTGATATTTTTTGGAGAGGGATGAAAGAGTATGACAAGTTTACCACCATTCCTAACTCTGTGGATGCTCGTGGAGTTTGCTGGCTCGTCGGATGAGGATATTTTAATGATCAAAGTACGAACAAAACGCGAAAAAAGGCCGAAAACTTGAGTTCAGTTCATTTTTATTTATTTAGCTTTCGGTCTAACAAGTTCATTTAACTTTGTTGTTTGGCATGTATAAGAGCCTTTTTTGTTATACAATGCTTGTAATTTAATAGGTTGGAGGATAAGGTTGCAAAGAGCGTATATGATTTTGTTGTGCAGTTGAAATGATAAATGAAAGTGATTTTTACAGGGTAATAATTGATTTATTTAAGTATTCATCTTATAACTGGAAGCCCAAACTAGTACTTGTTTTCATTCACAATTTCCCCACATCATCAATCATATCTGATGATATTTCTGAGACTAATGATTGAAAAGACTTTATCTTACTCTGATAAAATCCATAATTATTCCTCCATTTCTAACCAGATGGAGCTACCATATCTCTAGCACTAGCGTTGTCTTACTTTTCTTTACTCGACATTGACCTTTTTTATTTAGGTAATCGGCCCTGCCGATTGTGATTCATATAAAAAAAAACTTTTGGAAACAAAAAATGAACTTCTCTAAACTTTAAATTTTTGCCAAAATTGGAAGTACACTGCACTAGCAGCATAGTTGAAGCTTTAAAAAACGTTTAAGGAAGGCGAGTACTTCAAGTGACTACCGATAACTTGAGATAGCAATGACACAATAAAAGTGTACTATCCAATTCTTTTGTGCTCTTCGACAGGCCACTTGCATCCTTCAAAAATAACATCGTCTACATCGATCGCCCAAACAATCACAAGACAAGACTCGAACAATCTTTTGCATTTTGAAAATAACTTCCTTCCACGCATCACACAATAGTTTCAAGACTTTTCCGTTTCCATCTAAGTTACAGAAGAAAAATAAGAAGAAAGGTTGTCTCAAATACTTGAACCATTGTTTTTTCCGACCTATTTTACTGCTTCTTTTCTTTCGCAATTCTCGAGCGGGAAACTGACGCAGGCGCATACCAGCGGTTTCTCGTATCAAACTAAAATTTATGAAACATGCGCAACAAAATGCCCCTCTGCTAAGTTGTGTAGGAATTGTTGCTTAGAAGCTTTTAGCCATGCGAAAAAACAATGTGCTCTCTTCCGTTACAAAAAATGTCGGTGAAGAAAACCTCCGTTTTTCACCATGTGCCATTATTCAAGGTCTCTCGCATACGAATCTTAAGTTTCTGCTCCTTACTTGACTTGCTAATCCGTGCCTTTTAACTTGCCTCTACGGTAAACGAAAATCCACAAAATGTTACCTCACAGAGGCCCCTGCAGGAGTTAAGTGAGGGCTTGCGTGACCTAATTTGCATAATTGCGGTACGAGTCGTCGTGCTCGTGTGACGGAATAATTTGGAACTACGAGAGATGTCGGTCGACGTCATTTAAATAGGCACGAATACGAGGAAAAGAAATAATGAGTCTAGATATCCATTTAGCTCTGAGTTTTCCTCAATTTGTACTTGTGTTACTTTTTTTTTCCGCGCGAGTAAACTATGATGTTTGTTGACTTTTCTATTTAAAAGCGAGACAGTTAATTAAATCAACAAAACTTAATAAAAATTGCTCCATTCGATTTTTCTCACGTGAAACTAAGAAAAATAATTATTTCCCGCCCCTTTTGAATCGGAAGTCTCGCTTGTGAATGCAACGGAAGCTTCTTGCTCGGTTAAGTTTATAGTTGGAAGTGCTTGCTCGTACGACCGACGAGACAGGAGTAAATTATTTGAGGTGGTTCCCTTGGTGTCTTGCAATAAGGATGTACAGGGTCATAAAAGTGCTTGGTGTTTTGCCGGAGTTGAGAACGAGAGTGAACTTATCCTTGCCCGAGCAGGTATTTTTGACATGAGTGCAAAGGATATAAACGCCTTAACAATTTGTCCATTCCACCGTTCTGAGCTTGGCACTGGATGGCGAAGGAGCCAGAATACCTGCAGAATTCCAGATGAGATTGCTTCCCACGGCAAAGGAAAAGGTGTCAAGGGAGACAGATGCGCTAGCAGAGCGATATCAAAAGTTATATTTCAGATAACCGGCATCCTTGTACCTCTAGGTTCAGGTGTGGCTTTCATGAACCCTATTGCAAAAAAGGTAATATTGTTGTGTAATATATGTGCTCTATGTATTCAGATATTGTTACTTTTAAAGAAATGCAATTTTTCAGTTGACATAAATTATTGGCTGCGTGAGTCTTAAGGAACTAGGAACTCATACCTTGAATAAAGTACGTCGAAGGTTTGACGGCTTCGAGCTTGCCTAAGTTTGTTCTTTCTGTATTACTTCCCCGATTTGTAGTCATTTTTTCGATCATGGGAAGGAAGAGCTCCATGTCAAAGTTAACTTCCACTGAAAGTCATTTTACTCGTCTACGTTGTTGTCCTCATCGTCTTCATCATCATTGTCGTTATTATCATCATTAACATCATCAGCATCATTATTATTATCATTGTCATTATCATTACTGTTATCGTTTTAATAACTGTTTCTTCTATTACCATTGCACGGGTATCTGTAGAAAATGCAGAGAGATTTTTGAAAGCAGGTCACAGATTGATGAACTAACGCTTGCAATCAAGGATCTAAAGATGGTGAGCAATCTAATCGATAGGTTCAATCGAATTGCACCGCCTTTTTTTTAACGCAATAACACTTTCTGAAGAAGTAAATAAAGTTAAACTAAAATTTCAATTTGTTGTTGTAAGTAATGTAGGAGGGCCTAATTAAGCAAGAGCACTGACGAGCCCGCTGCAGTGCAAAAAAATTCCGTAAATTCATTGCCAAGCCATATAGCCGCTACTCAAACTTGTGCTTTGAATATATCCTCAGGCCAACAGTAGTGACATACCAATGAATCCTACGGTTACTCCAGAAAAACATGAACCTCCTGCATTGGCTACGGAAACAACGGAGACCCTTTACCACCCATCTGAGAGCTCAGAAGATTTTGAAAGCGCAAAAGGGGTAAAAGGTACTTGTAGTAGTTCTGAAATACCACCGGGACTGACCGCGGAAACACCTGGGAGCTTTTACCACCCATCTGAGAGCTCCGAAGATTCCGATGGCGCAAAAGACACAACGGCGCAGAACACAACGCTACCACATTCGGAAAGCAAGACAAGTTGTGATAGCAGCCCTAGAGGAAACTGCACCTGGGAACGCTGAAATCCTCTTGAGTAAACTAGTGATATCAAACGTCGTCGCACTGACAGAGAACGAAGTTGACTTAACGCTTGTTGACGCCTTAGCAGAATGCTACAAGAGTGCGAGCCACTGGAGCACACGAAGGCAAATCCTATCCATTATTCCTGACAAGTTATCTATCGAACGTTACAGAGTTGGATTCCTGGTCTAACACGATATAGATATAATGTCGCCAGGCAACACGCTCACATGTATGAAGGAGGTGCTGAAGTTGAAACTCGTAGTGTGCCGAGAATGTATGTCTCAGCCTCACAGCTCGACCACTTCCTTGACTTCATCACAAGTGAACACATTGTCCAAGAACTTCCATTTGGTGAACGGACATTGAAAATTGTTATCCGAAAAGAAAATAATAGTACTCAATGTGGTAAGAAAGGTCATCCCAGAGCGAGTTATTCAACAGTATAACCTGTTTTGCACCGAGACGGGTTTTGCTCCGATGGGACGCAGCACCCTTCATAACATTCTAGATTTGTGCTCTGCTAGTGTAAGGAACTCATTACAGGGACTCGATTACTTTACAGCGCAAGGCACACAGGCTTTTGATGATTTAGAGAGTGTTGTCGATAAGCTCGGAGAAGACTGTGGGATGGGCTCATCCTGGGTGAAAGAAAAGAAGGAACAAGTCAAGGAAGGAAAGAGATATCTGAAGAGTGATTACAAGGTACCATTATTATCCCTATTATCATTATGATTATCATTATTACTATAATAACGATCATAACACTAAAAATAATCGAGCGTGCTTCATCAGTTCTTATCACAATACAGAGATATGAATTATTAATAAATACATGCAGATAGACAGGGACCATAGTCATTATCATACCTTCCAATTCGAGATTTTTGTTTTCAGTTAATAGGTACACATTTCAACGAGCTCAAGTGTACCAGACCATTGTCGAGCCTACGCGCTAAGTTGTCCAGACGACACAGACTACCTTGAAATTTGCCATCACAACCACAACCACACATGCGACCGGTTTTCTCGTCTTACATCTGTTGTTGCTGAAATCGAGAGAGCTGTACAGGAAGTGGGAGGCACAACCGATACGAAAGGAGATTTGGCCTTTGTGACTTTACAGTCCAAACAATACATAAATTCTTGGAAATCGCACTTACTGCGTTCAACAAACCAGAACGAGTCTAGATTAGACGTCATCGATAAGCTGGATGAAACTTCTGTCTTACTGGTCTAACTAAGACTGGGCAATGAAATATCTACCAAAGAAATTCAGGGAGAGCCAAACAGACTGGTTTGGTAAGAGACGTCTGCCATGGCATATCACAGTTGCGATGAGAAAGGGAAATGATGGCAAGATTGAGATGATGATATTTGTACACTTATTTGAGACCTGTAACCAGGACAGTTCTGCAGTTCTTGCCATACTTAACGACGTCTTTCGTCGACTGAAGGATGTCATGCCTCATTTACAATCTATTTATCTTAGACAAGACAACGCCGGGTGTTACCACTGCGCTTTAACCCTGGTTACAGCCAGCAAAGTAGCAGAGCTAAATAAACTACGCAGAATGGATTTTTCATTCCCAAGGAGGGAAGGGATCTTGCGATCGGAAAGCTGCAACGATCAAATCCCATATGGCCATCCATTTGAATTCAGGCCACGATATAGAGTCGGCATCTCAAATGCAGGAGGCAATAGAACCATTTGGAGGTATCCCTGGAGTAAAAGCAGTATTGTGCAGGCCTCCTTTGTCTTCCATTAAAAGCCCGTGAAATGGTATGGTGTAAGCTTTGTAAACAACGTTCATTACGGCGAGGAAGGTGTGAGAGTATGGAGATCCTACAAAATTGGAAGAGACAAATTCATTCCTTGGAGCAAGTTTCGTGTTCCTGACCAGGACGAAGTTCCAACTCTGGAATGCAGTGCAGCAAGCGAAAATATAAAAGGAAATTTGTTCCTATCAAGCCGAGACGAGCTGAGGTTGCTAAAACATCTCAAAAGCACCGAGACAGCACTGATGAAGGTACCAATGATTCAAGAGAAGAATCGCGCGCTTCCACATTTGCTTCAATTCAATTTATTTGCTTGAATTTGCTTCCACAACTAAAAATATTTTTTTCTGCTCGGAAGAGGGTTGCATCAAGTCCTATCAACGCCATTCGTCATTACAGAAGCATCTCGAATGTGGGAGACACAAATATGTTCTTGAATATGAAACTCTCTATGACCGCGCCGTGCTAGGGTATGCCTCTAGACTGGAGATGGGACCGGGTGCTGTGCCGAAACTGCGGGACACGGAATCCACCCCGTCATCGTCTGTAGCTTCTGTTGAAATGGGATGGGCCCTAAAACAGAGTCGTTCTCGCAATATTCGTTTCACTGATGAGCAAAAGTTTTTAATCTTATACCGTTACTGGCACTGGTGAATAATTGTACTAGACAGAACGATGAGAGAATATCCCTGCAGAAACAAACTTCAAAGGATAAAAGACAAAGTAATTTAACAAAACTGGGTATAACTGTGTTATTTGTTTCTGAAAAAGTTCTGCTGTTCGATCCGAAGTCATTTCGAAGGCAGGAATACTCCCGAACTCTCTGGTCACGCAATCTACATATTGCGTGATTTTATGTCTTCTGTGTGCTATTTTGAAGAGTTTCCTGCGTAGTGAGAAAACATTTGCTCAAAGAAAAATTTATGTCATTTTGAAGATCATTCCTTCGGCAGTTTACATACGTAATTTGGTGGAATTCTGAATTATGGCACATGGTGAAAAAAGAGGTTTTCTTCACCAAAAATTTTTTGTAACGGAAGAGAGCACATTGTTTTTTCGCATGGCTAAAAGCTTCTAAGCAACCAATTCCTACACAAATTACCTTTTACAGAAGACGAAGAGTCTATAAAAGAACATACGTTGGTTAGATTTCCCTTGATGAAATATCTTTGAAATGCGAAGCGAGCGAAAGTGTTCAATTTTCGACCTGTTATGACCCGATCCATCGATTCTAGAGAGTGAAAGCGAAAAGTTCGTTGTTAAGGATATCGAACAAAAGAACAGTTTTTTGATTAGATCAATTATCAATTACTTTGTGTGCCTAGTTACGATTGTAGTTACAATGTTTATCTTTTTCCTATTGGTTTGTAATCGGATCTTTTAGCGTCACCACGCGCATATAAAAGCTAAGTTAGCGTCCCTTTAAGCCAGAGTTTCGCAAGATTTCGCCTTGAATAGCAGTACCTTCGTTCTTCCGCTCTAAACCTTTGGCACAAGCGGAACCGATATGTAAGTAATTTTGTTAGTTTTATTTCAATGTGTTTAAGTTTAGTTTTTCACCTTGGGCGATAGCGCACATTTGTACTGTGTTGTACAATAGTACAACTAATTATCTTGAGATCAAAAGAGTAATTTGGAAGAACTAAACGCTCAGACAGCAACGCCCACATTTTAGTCTTCGGGCTGTTAATCAGCCGCAAATGTTCATCGTGTAGCCGATCTTTGAATCTCGAGTAGTTTCAATTTAGCCTTTTATGATTTGTTTATGTTGATTTACGTTAATTGTTGTTATTTTAATCGCGTTATCGACATAGAAAGCGTTTCTTTCATGCCTTTCGCACCAATTCAAGTAGATTCATGCATTCGTTATAATATTATTGTAATTTCAGTTTACGATCGTGATCGTCTTTGTGATCGTCTTCGTCATTGTCTTCGTGATCTGAATAAACACCGTTAACCGTCACCGTTAACCGTCATCTCACTCAGCAAACACGCCTTAGCGACACCCCTAGAAGTTTCGTCTTTCGTCGCAAGCGTCACATTCGTTTTTCTCGAAAAAAAAAACACATTTGAGGAAAAAAAATACACAGTCTTTCTTGTCTTACAAGGGTCTACTTGTGTGCAAAACTCGAGACAATTTGAATTTTTGACCCTTGCCATAAAAATTTCATTTTTGTTTGATTTTTGCACGGATGTCCTCTTAAAATCTCGAAAATATAGATGCCTTTTTTTAAAATTTAAACACAGCGATAAAAATAAAAGCTTTTAAGGTGGAACGGATAAGAACCGTGACTCGAGAGAAATTTAGGGTCACGACGGAAAAGAAACTGCTCATCCACTGAACAACTCAGGGGTCTTAGTATTGACTGAAACATTCAACACAAACTCAAAACTTGTTTTAGAAGCGCAAATCTAACACAATCCTTGGTTTTACTTGAGGCATATTACAGTTTACCTCCGAAAGACGAAAGACCCCCAAACCTTTTTGAAAGGTTTCAGCATCGTGGAGTTCTCTATTTTGACAATAGAGCCATTTCTAATTTCGGTTTTTCTTCGCTCGACACCGGAAATCTGTAAATATGAGCTATCATGTGACATTTTATTCCCTGAGCACAAGAAAGATTAGAAAAATGTGTTTAGATAAATGTTAGCAATTTCAAAATCGATAACGAATTACTTTGGAAGTGAAACAAGACAGCAAATGTTTGCATTTCTTCATGGCCGCCATGTTGACACCCCTTGCATGGGCACCAACTTGGCGTTCCCATCCGAAGCGCTATAAATTCATGTCAGACATTCAGGCTAATAACTCATCAGTGGAAATGGCTACAGACCTGAAATTTAAGAAATATTCTACAATAGCTCATTCTTTCTAGCAATCGATCTATGAAGACAACGATGAAAAACGGCGAAGACTACAACCAACATGAAGGACCACAAAAATATAACTACTGATAATCAAAGATTGGTAAAGTGCGTTCCATCTTTAGTAAAAGTTTTTTATTTTTATTTTATTGATTGCGCAGAGAAAATAATCGGTGTCTTCAAGGCGGCCAAGAAAACATTTGCAAGTGAGATCGAGGCTATTTGTGCCACATGGCCAGCCAGCCAGTCAGCCGGTCCAAAATGGCGCCCAGTGCCTGAGGAACTAGTCCATAAAACCCTCGAGAGTGATTTTCCTAAAAACGACACGGTTAGTATGCGTTCCCCTTCGTCGAACGCAATTATATGACGAGGCAACGTTTTCTCTCGAGATTCCAGCAATGCAGATGCAGCGGTGTTATGAATGAAAGAAATCTCAGAACCAGACTGAAATGACTTTATAAGTGCAGAATTGATATCTGTGTCGTGTTTGTTAACACTTCTGTTACATGTCCAAAACTGAATATTTAATGCATTGCAATCACTAAATACGTACAAGGCGTGCAATTCTGAACTCTTCAGTAACGTTTTTGTTTTGCTCAGTTACTGTAATGTTCGCAACATCATTAGTATGAAAATAGTAGCCTTGAAACTGTCATTTCAGTGAAAATTTAAAATTTACATTGGACTCTTCCATTCCAAAGTATTGTGAAGCATTGAAGACGAGTGAAAGCAAATGCAATGGAATTCTCTCGGTTTTTCCGATGATACATGGTTTTTTGCCGCAGATACATGGTAACCAGAAATTAGTGTAGTATGGTGAACAGCTTGTTCTTGATTCAATCCACTGTACGATTTTTGTTCTGATTGTCATGTTTTGTTTACTTTGAAAATCTAACACTATCGACCGTGTATTTGCTCCCCACAATTTCAGAAATGCTATTAGAAGTGGTTAGGATTTTGAGACAAATTTATGTTAAATTCAACTGAAACATTGATACTAGTGATAAGGTTTGTTTTTTTTTGCGGTAAAGAACTGCACTTGACTTGAAGATTAGCTTAATTGATTTATAAAGGACATTGAACTCTTTAAAAACATGTTTCAACAGTTCTTCTGTCATCTTCAGTTCTCAATAATTCAAAGTACAAAGTTGAATTTAAAGTGTGTAACAAAATGCTGATAAGACCTCTCACATTTTCAGACATCTACATAATTCTCCATTATGTCGCACCCTTTGTTCTGATGAGTGTTTTAGCATCTTGGATCACGCTTCCACAACTTTTCAACCTAAAATCAAAGAAGCTATCCACATTCAGCGGAAGAAACCTACACTTAATCATTAACTTTATCATGTTAATTTAAAACTTTCCTTGTAAATGCATACGTTGGTGTGTTATTATTGTTTGTTTTGTCCAATCAGCGCTTTGTTACACACTTTAAATTCAACTTTGTACTTTGTATTATTCAGAACATTCAACTCTGTAAATCACTGCAGTTATTCATTGCTCGTTGCCAGGTAGAAGGCTAAGCTATAAATTTTTTCAACTTGTTACTCAAAGAACAGCTTGGCGAAGAACGTGGATGGGAAATGAATTGCTTTTGTCAACCCCGTATTCCAAGGATCGCTTTGCCAGTCAATCATCAGCAGAGTGGTTCAAAGTCGATTGACGTGTTGGCAGCTGACTAGCGATAACAAGCACATGTAAAAAAGTTCTCGTAATTTTACACGTGTTCTGTTAAGGCTTTTCCCAAGGCTGAAAATCATTACAAAGCACCGCACTTCACATAATAAAAGCCTTCATCAGACAAGTGTATGTGACATTTTGCATTTTGTTCCTCTGTATAGAATGGATGAGAAGCAGTTAAAAGCAAGCTTAAGGAAGTATTTCGGAGAGACAGCAGCAAAAATAACCAAAGAAACAACCGAAGATGAGATCAAACGCATTTATGCTGCACGGTCAGCAACATATGACGAGGTACTACAAAATAGTAAAATAATAATAATAATGGTCTGGGGGACCATGTGGCACATCGCCATTTGACCCACCGGACACTTGATCCATTATTCAGGGCTGCGTTTCTCGAATGTTCCAGTACTACTGGAACATTCGGGTCCCGCTGCAACATTCCTAGATCCCAATTGAGGGAATAATAGTGCAGTCTTAGTATAGGTAATCATATGATTTCGAGTACAATTTGGAATAAATGAGCATTAGTTAATTTTTCAAAGACTAACCGTAAAGTTACCGGAGCTCTCGAGGAAAAGGTGCCCAAGGCGACACTAGACTACTGTTGTAGTTATCGAACAACTAATCTTAATAACCAGCTTGAACTTTCTCATCATATAGGAACATTCAGCGGCGCACACTTCATATTTCAAGCCACTAGCCGAATCTTTGCATAACGCCCTTAAAGAAGTTAAACAGGACAAACCAAAGGATCAGATCAAAATCATTGACGTTGGAGCTGGGACAGGGCTTATAGGAGTTGAGCTCAAGAAACTCGGATACACCAATCTATGTGCTTTGGACATCTCAGCTGAGATGTTAAAGGAAGCAAAGAAAAAAGAGGTCTATACTGAGTTCATCTGTACGTCTTTGAACGGGCAGCCGATACCTCAGATTGAATCTGGGCAATTCGATGCTTTGATTTGTGGTGGGGCGCTCATTGCAGGGCTTATCGGCTCCTCTGCTTTCGTGGAGATGATAAGAATGGTTCAAACTAGTGGGTCTTTCGTAGGAGTTTACCGAGGCACAAGCAAGGATGTCTTCGGGGAGTCTGTTCTGTGGCTAACTGTTGGACTTGATGCTAAAGAATCATTTAGTCGCGGTTTCAAAGCAATCTCTTTTTGAATCTTTCAAACGCTGTAAAAAAAGAAACAATTACAACAAAAACGGACACTAGCCTTTAAACATTATTCTTTGATAAACCTTTGAGGGAATAATAATGTTTTTAAGCAAAAATGAAAAAAAAAAGGATCATTTTAGATTGAAGACATATCAGGATTTTAAAAAAGGAAAAAACGTTTAAAATCCTATCAAAAGTTTTTTGCTAGGTTGTTTTTGTTTTTTGAAAACTCAAACCGTGAGATGGATCAGGTAGTGAAGACTCACCTAACACCCTTCTAGATAAATTCCCTTAACTTCTGGCATCTGACCCGTAAATCTTCTTCTAGGGTTAAATGTTCTCTCTGCAAATTCGTTTAAAGAATTTCTTGATATATCAAGATCACGCGCTCAAGCTGGTCTCTTCAACTTCTCTTTGGATGATATTACAGTTTATAGGTTAACCCTTTAACTCCCATGGGTGACCGAGACAGACTTTCTCCTTACAGTATCAATATGATATCAAGCAGACAAGTAATGGGAAAACAAAAGAAGATGTCAATGAGGGTATTATTGGTTAGTCCTACACCAAATTCTCCTAACTAACATCATAGGAATTATATGACAGACATTAAAGAGAATTACTAAAGAGATCTTAGGAGTAAAAGGATTAACCAACTCTGTGAGTTAAATCTAATAAATACATGGACAAATAGGAAAAAGGATGGAAATTTCCCATGATAAGACCTTACAAGATGCGCACTAAATTCCTATGTGAACTTCTTTGCAGATGGCGTCCTCTGTTTCAATATGAGGAAAGAGGAATTAGAACACTATCAAGAAATGATGACAGAGCTGGAGAAAGATGGCGATTGGATATGCATGTGTAAAGAGTCTTCGCCTTTCTATGCAGCCGAGGACATGCCCAGTAAATGCTGGGGGTTCGTTTACAAAGTTTCGAAGAACTAAGAAACATGTATCATGGCATTTACGCCTAACTTATCTAGGCCATACATATCATTTCCTGATATGAAAAATTTCGAAAATATAGATGCCTTTTTAAAAAAGTTAAAAAATTTAGAGCCAAGACGGAGAAGAAACTGCTTATCCACTTAACAACTCAGGGGTCTTAGTATTGACTGAAACATTCAACACAAACTCAAAACTTGTTTTAGAAGCACAAATCTAACACAACCCTTGGTTTTTATTTGACTTCCACCATAAAAATAAAAATAAGAGGGGATTTTACAGCTTATCTCCGAAAGACGAAAGACCTCTGAAACCTTCCGAAAGGTTTCAGCATCGTGGAGTTCTCTATTTTGAAAATAGAGCTATTTCTAATTTCGGTTTTTCTTCGCTCGACACCAGAAAGCTGTAAAATATGAGCTATTGTGTGACATTTTATTCCCTGAGCATAGGAAAGATTAGAAAACGTGTTTAGATGAATGTTAGCAATTTCAAAATCGATAACTAATCACTTTAGAAGCCAAACAAGACAGCAAATGTTTGCATTACTTCATGGCCGCTACTTGTGTAGTGATGCCCATGCAGGTGGGCATGGGCATCAACTTGGCGTTCCCATCCGAAGCGCTGTAAATTTATGTCAGTACACTGCGGAGAAGAAACGGATATTGGCGATCCTCGCAGCTATGAACACTACTGAACGAATAGCTGAAATAAGACCCAAAAAAAATTCAGGCCCGTACGGGATTTGAACCATGACCTACGGGCCTAAATTTTTTTTCAGGTCTTATTTACACTACTCGTTCAGTAGTGTTTATAGCTGTGAGTATCGCTTATATCCGTCATCAGTGGAAATTGCTACAGACCTGAAACTTGGGAAATATTCTAAAATAGCTCACTCTCCATAGCAATCGAGCTATGAAGACAACGATGAAAAAAACTATAACTAGTGATAATTAAAGATTAGCAAAGTGCGTTCGATCTCTAATAAAAGTTTTTATTTTATTTTTTACCGATTGCGCAGAGGAAAAAAAAATTGGTGTCTTTGGCTCAAGGCAGCCAAGAAAACATTTGCACGTGAGATCGAGGCTATTTGTTCCACATAGCCAAGCCAGCCAGCCAGTCTAAAATGGTGATCCCCTTGGGACTAGTCCATTAAATCCTTGAGAGTGATTTCTCCAAAAACGACACGATTAGTATGCGTTCTCCTTCGTACAACGCAATTATATGACGAGGCAACATTTTCTCCCAAGAATTGACGGCTGCATGTAAACATATATATCGTGCGCTTTCATGCGAACGGAATCGAAATGAAGGTGTTCGATTTCAGGGTAATAGAGTCTGCACTTATCAAATATTTCAACTGCGTATATAATTACCAAATTTTTTTGACAAAACTTAACAAGATTTTGAAACCAAGTGCGTATGGTACTTTACAAAGTAAATCTTACAAATGACATGGAATGAATCCCATCGTTTACAGTTGTGGTTAAGGTCATTAGTGTTCTTACCCCACAAGGTAAAAACTGAAGAAAAGACTTTCAAAGTTAAGGTTTTCAACAAACAGTTTAATGATCAGGACACCTTCGAGGGCATCACAGAGTACATACAATTGGACTGACTGAGTGAATTACGTACGTTCTATCGAATTGACTGACCCACTTAAAGACAAAATTAATCGTCTGCCTGATTGACTTGCTTAGGGTTAGGGTAAGGGCCAATCAAGTTTTAACTTACCTCATAACTCGTTGTACAGGAGCAAGAATAAATGAATTCAAGTCCATTTTGCCACACTTTGGATTTTCACGACATGTCATCTTAAAATAAACAATAAGCAAATAAAATGATTAAATCTTACGAGAAAATAGGAGACAAATCGATTCTGGGCTAACCGTACTCTGTAAAAAAATAGTAAAGTACTTGTGAAATATTGAAATTTTACTCTGCGAAGGTCAAGTTACAAAACACATTTAGGAATATTCTTAGCAGCTCTTTTTTCTTCCAAAGGGATTACAGCAATGCAGATACAGCGGTCTTATAAATGAAAGAAATCTCACAACCAGATTGAAATGCCTTTGTACCGTATTTCTTCACTTATAAGGCGATCTCGGCTATAAGGCGAGACCCTAAAAGTTAGATACCTTACAACAGACTTGTGTTGTCCAAAAAAAAAAAGAAAACCCATTGGCTATAAGCCGAAAGCGAAATTCTTGATTGAAACCAGTCATTTGAGTGAGTGAACCTCGCGGAAAACATTGGGAAATGGCTCACTGAAAACAAAAGCTAATGAATTGAAATAAACACAAAAGAAAAAAAGCTAACCAGCGAAGATGTAAATACTACCACGCGACTGCAGAAACACAACAACAATCTCAGTTACTGTAACCTGACAAACGTTTCAATTGAGTATCTCTTTCGTTGCTATTTTTTTTTCTCATCATACCAAAAGCACGCCGCTCTTCATATACTATGGCTTTCAATATAAAAGTTATCGTGGAAGCTGAGGAAAAAACTCAAAAGTCGCTTGAGATTAAGGACTTAGCGAGTCCATGGTGCAACGCTGGAGAAGAGACCAGGTGACTATTCTTTCTGGTGAGCTTAAGATGACTGCAAAAGGTGCAAAAATGGGCCGTTTCACTCCCAAGAACTCCGAACTATAGACGAGCAAGTGATGGAGTGGTTTTCACAGCGGAGAGACCAAAATATTTCATGTCGAATGCGAAATGAGAAGAGTTTTGCTGAGTTGAGTGAGATCGTCTTTCAATGCGTGGGAAGCAAAGAGTCTGATTGGTGGTCAGAAATACGTTGTTGTCATGGCAATTTTAAAGCATGTCACTTAAAGAGCGCTACAGTCAGAGAATTTACCGTCATTTCGTTTGCAATTAGACTTTGTTTTTGAATTCCAAACCCTTGGCTATAAGCTGAACCTTGTTTCTCTTGGAAAAATCTACTAAACTTTCGTGTCAAATACTGAAAAAATCGCTCGGCTTATAGGTGAAGAAATACGGTAAGTGCAGAATTGATATTTGTGTCGTGTTAATAAAACGTTGGATATACGAGGACACTTAACCTGTTTTGAATAGTAAAATTTCGTAAGCTTGAAATAAATCTACGCTCTCCAAAAATATGCTTCCAACGTTAACGTTGGAAAATTCCTAGATGTATTAAAGAAAGAAGAAGTCACTTACAAAGACAACTGAAATGTGTGTTAGAAAAACAAAATTTGGCCTTTCAACATATGTCAGATTTATGCTGTTATCTTCTAAAGGCATCTGGGGATATACCCTACGGTGTACATGAATGACGGAATCCCACGAAAAAGTGTTCGAGTTATCAGAACTAGGATTTGCATCCAATTTTGCAAGCTTTCTCTGCAAATGTTTTAAAAGATTCTCTGGATAAACTTGGAATTATGACCAGCATAACTTTTAAACGATTCTTGACATAAGGGCGTAACAAGTGGCAGCTCTGTTATTTACAGTTCTTTCTAGATTCCTTGATCTGGCTAATTCATGTACGCCTGACACAGTCTGTCACGTGACCCGTTAATATGAAAGCCACCTGAACATCGCATAAATTAACGTTATGAAGGTTATTCAGGGTCTCTTCACTTCAGAGAACGCCACACTCTTAACTGACAAATTCCTACTTTGATGGTGTGCACCGTGGCGGCAGTGGTGTTCCTTCTTGCACTTAACTTATATCGCGCCTTGATGTCAGCAGTAACAGGATTATGACACCTTACAGTCCCTATACATTTTCTTAGACTAAAAGTCTAAGAAAATGTAGGGGACTCTCCGGGATACTTACAGTACAGACGATTTGCGTCCCCTCATGGAGCGGCTGTCTATGGAAAGGAAAATTTCATGAGCACGAGCAGCACTTGAAAACGTGTGGAAAATTTCAAACGGCGTGTGCCAATGATGGCTGTAGAGAGATGGTGGCAAGGGAAAGGATGGCAGCACACACTGCGCAATGTGCAAAGCACAAACTCCCTTGCCAGCAGTGCGGTAGAAAAATTACAATGGAATCTTTCGAGGAGCATACTGCTTCCCTTTGCTCAAATAAGAGGGTACTATGCCCACTAAGCTGCGGAACAAGCCTTCCACGGTAAGATATTGTCGGTTTAATTAAGAAATCAACAGTCAAATGGTTTTTTTTAAGGCCAACAAAATATCCAAAAGTTTCACTAGCCAGCTCATCCCTGGTCCTTATTTTGATTATTTTACAGGGCTCCACTCAACAGTGCATTTAAGCGAGTGATCAGAAAGAGCGGTCCGCTGTGCGGTGACTGGCTGCACTGCCGTAATAAAGCAGAAGAACATGCCACAGCACTCGACAAATGCAGCCGCCACCCACAGTGTTCTGCAGGAAGGGGAGGTCCAGCGTCTGCGGGGCCTGATGCATTTCAAGGTGAGACGCTAGAATTATAAAAATAATGAGAAAAGATATCACATGAACATGAACTGAACATTCGGTTTCATTTCAGAGAGCCAAACGGAGATGGATTTTGGAAGAAAGAGGAGTGTTCTCCTTCCGCTGGAGGGGAGAGAAATGGAATAACGTGAAGGGGTCACACCTATTCAGCACTGAGTACAGGTGCCCGAATGGGAACAGGTGGAGGGCGCATATACGATTTGCAGGACTTTCCTTGGAACTGGTGTCCGCAGTGACGGCAGTGGTAGTAGGAACGAGGTTAGGGACTCGTCTTTATAATTAAGGATAGATTCTCGCTCTGGAACGCAGTACAGAGGATAAATGATCGCTGCTGATAAGCCAAAGTACTTACATTTAGCTGGCGTATTTTACGACGACTATCAATATCGTAATTTTTCCATACAGAAGTGAGGAAATCTAAAACCATGTCTCCGAACCTAAAAACTGTTAAAAAGAAAATCAACTTTATCATGATTCACCACAGATCATTAATGACTTTACGCTTTATGTCTACAGAATAGTATTGATGCCTGATTCCTGCGAGGAGAAGGTTTTCCCTTTCCCGGCGAAGGAGATAAAGGAGGGGGAAGTAGAAGCAAATATCCCGCGCTGTGAACTGGATCACATGGACCCAGAAGATATTATGATTGTCAAGTTTGTCTTGACATATTATCTTTTAAAAGAAGACAAGTAATTTTCCATTTATTAACTAGGAGAGGTATCGAGGTCGCAAATAATAACGCAAAAAATGGAAATCGTTTATGCACTAGAACAAAAGACAATGTGATAAGCACAGAACAAACTAACAATGAAATTTAAGAAGTATTTTTGAATGGAAAACATTTTCAGTACTTTTTCATTGAGATCTTCCGCTTTTTTTGCTGTATGTAATACCTCTCTTAGCTCCTATCTGGAACATTACTTAACTGGAAAAGATCTCTTCACGCAGTTGTTAAGATAGAAGCGTGCCGGTGATGTCAAAGCGTTGTTGTATTTTAGGGTTAGTAACGAGTGAGGAATTGAAAAAATAAAGAGTCTGGAAGCTAACTAACTTTTGAGTTTTCAGTCAGCCTCCAGTTTAGTTTAGTTATTTACATTTGAAAAATACCTCTGGGAAACAGAAGTACACTTACAGGAAAAATGTTAAAGATAATAACGTTATGGAAGGAAAGATAGCTACGAGGACAAATATTGAAAGCGATACAAAAAATGTTTAGGTTTTTTAAGTCAAATATGTTTTTTTAAGAATTTTGGGAAACACACTCGTCAATTTCCCCCTCTTCAGTATGAGTAAGCTCGATTTGTTCGTTTGCTGCGCTGTGTTTCACCTGATAATAAATGATTTGACAAATGCATTTTTCCCCGTTATCTGAACACCCTTGTCCCACTGTCGCAGACGGTCTAACCGGTTTGGTTACAGATCAAAGGCATCCCACACCAAATAAAAGCCGACACGCAGCCTCGCACCAACCCAGTCTGACACGAATTTGAATTTTAAAAAAAACAAAAAACATAAAAAAAACAAAGTAAAACGAATAAAAACCTTGCCCTGCATAACATGAATCAAAAATAGTTTTTTTCTTAACGAAGACTAGTGGGCAGCACAAAGAAAGACGTATTGTTGTAGTTTCTCCTTTATTCCAACACGTGTCGCCTCTAGCATTGGAGAGAATATAACTACACATTCGTTAACCTCAGTTTACTTTCCTATGTAAGTGAATCATAGCTGAAAAATCCTGTAAACGGATGTTACAAAAAAAACCGCCTCAATCTATTGCGCGTTATTGTATTTTGGGGGCCATACGATATTGCGGTGAATCAATAAACAAAGACTTTGTTTCTTCATAACTCTTTTTTAATTAGGAAGGAAGGTTGGTGAGATCAACCCATTTGAATTGGTGAATTTCCCACCGTCAGATGTACGGTCTGCCAATTTTTTTACGGTAGCTAATTTGCCAGTCAGATCTTTCAGTTGAGTCGTTCCTTATCCATACAGATGTTACAAGAAATGCCTTAATTTACTGAGCGTTGTTGAATTTTAGGAGCCGTGCGGTTAGCGCCAATTGTTGTTACTCAATAAACAAAGACTTTGTTTCCTCACAACTTGTTATTAATTAAGAAAAAAATGATCGGTGAGTTCAACAGATTTGATCGGGTAAATTTTCTACCATTGGAAATACAAAAAGCTAGCCTAGCACACGCAGATAATATTTACACCAGATACAAATATATCTTCTATCCTACATGGGAGTACATAACAACCCAATGTTTTTATGAATAAACCTAAATTGTTAGTAATCGTCGTTATAAATGTAATTACAAACTGTTCTGTTTCTGGTAATATCAACTAAGTTGAAATTATAAATTGGCCACCGTAAAGAGTTCAAAAGCTGACGTTTCGAGCGTTAGCCCTTCATTAGTCTGATAATGAGTCGTATATTCTCCGGGAATGCTATGCAACCGGTGGAGCCCTGTGTGAAATTAAAAAAACAGCTATGATGGGACCACAGCGTTTATTGCTGCAAAGGGGCAACATACGTCCTCTGGATCGCGAACAGTAGTTATCATTGCTGACTTCATTGAAAACTCTTCATTTTTTTGGATAGAATGAGAGGGTCCTTGGAATTGTAAATTCCATTTCATTTCATTTTCTGGTTCATGAAATATGATAATTTCATAGAACAGTTTTTAAATATCAAAATATTGTATCGGATTCACAAATGATGATTTACATGGAGTTAAAACAACGTTTTTTAACGGTATCAAATATCGTCAACATAAATCCCGGCGCTAAAAAATACATTTGTTTTATTTTTTAAGAGTTATAGCGGAGCGCATAAGTAAGAAAATACGGTTATTTTAACAAGATGATAAAGTTTGGTCGTGATGTTAGGCCTTCTCGTTCCACCATCCGCACATACCTTTTTTCATGGCTGCATCACACTTTGTATCCACACACACGTGCTAGTCAATAAAACAAAAAATTATTTTTCTGTGTTCCTTCGTGATAAAGATAAACATTTTAGTGACAGAGCTGAAAAGCAGACCTCTCAAGAAATGTTCGAACCTCAGATTTTCAAAACCTGAGTTAAATTTTCGTGTACTCTATTGAGAATAACGTGAGAAGTTTCGGCTCCCTCATGTTTTTGTGATCACCAATGCAAGGATTTGAGTTCATTGATTGGACACCGGGGAAAGAGCGGCAAACTGGGAGACCTAAGAGTCAGCCTTCGTTTGGCTGCATTATCGTTATTATACATTTTTATCATTCACTGCTGACATGTCTTGTGACTATCATTTGAATATACCTATTAAATTATTTCTAATTCCTTGATAGGTCAGGAAAGATTTTCAAGATTACCCATCCAAGACATCCGTGAATTCCAGGCTCGTACAATTTAGTAGGCTTGGCTTGGCTTACCATGGCTTACCTTGATCTACAGTGGTAAACATTACATACTAAAGTAGAGAAAGTAAACAACGAGACTGACAGTGAACATTAACTCTGCCGGAAAGCACGTTGAAATCTTTTCTAAAGATTAAAATAAATTATAATTGAAATAAATAATAATTGAAATAAATAATATCAAGTGTCAGTAGTAGCAAGGAATATATCTTTGCACTTTTATTTTTATTTTTTATTTACACTTGACATCGCAGCCGCTGTAGATATTAATTAAATTCATTTTAATCATAACTCGAAGAGATCGACTTGTTAATAGGCGACTTCCGTTTAGCCGTTAGTAAGGCTGATCTAAGGAAAATTTGTATAAAATTGACCCACAAAATATGGCGAGGAATAGGCATGACAGGTTTGAACAAATCCATGCCGAAAACTTTGTTCCTTCTGATCACGTACATCAACTAAACTAAACTAATCATCTATTCTTTGCACAAGCTTCTAACTCTGTTGCCGCTTTGATGGTTTCATTTGTGATTATTTCCTCTGTATGTGTTATTAGCAAATGAATCTCAGAGATATTTTAGTTACCTGGATTTGTGTTCGATTGTCATTTTCATCCGCAGGTCAAATGAAATTTGTTATTATTTTGTGTGCCTCCCTTGTTTGTGCGAAGAGCACAAGGTTCGCACTGCATAAAATTGCCAACTTCAATTTTTCAAATCGTCGAAGAAATTAAAGAAGATCCACGTTTCTGGTCTTCGATTGTTATCAGAGCAATATTCCATATTGTCACTGAAGTGAATACACTGAAACTTTCTATTCATATAGCTGCAACTCTGTTTATCATTTGAATCCCATCACTTTGATTGAAAAAACATGTATCATGACCAGGAGGAGGTTTGATATATTAGACAACTAACGTAGAGCTTAGTTTTGCTCATGTGATTGCAGAAATTGTATGTTAGTTCAAATCCATCTCACAGTCTGTTATCATAGTTCTAATTGCAGTAGAAATACATCGTCTACCTCCGCGATGCACGTTAATAAGAACAGACGTGTATAACGCTTTCAAAATTGAGAAACGTTCTTAATCTGACCCCTGCGATGCAAACACAATCAGTAAAAAGAAAGCTAGGGAACTAAGCTTGAATTGACATTTAGGGTAAACCAACCTTTTTTCTTTGCAGTAGATCCAGGAGATACTGGTTTTCCTGATCGATTCGACTAACCGATGTTGGCGTATGTCAGAATTAACGATAAATACTCGTGTCAACAGACTAAGGTTGGAATTAAAATAGTGGTAAGCTAATTCTCACCTGTCTTGTGACATCTGGATAGATTTCTAGTCCCATATCCCTTTCCATGTAAATTTATGCCGTTAAAATTTCAATTAGTTAATACAAAAGTCGCTTATACGAGCCTGGAATTGATCTCCTACACGCTATATCATAATTGGCTGAAAGCTAAAGTCATCAACTTCAACTGTATGCCTTTGTTTACACAACAACGTCACTCGCGGAAATTGGCAACATAAAAAAAAACTATGATGAATGACAGTAGGCGCAATTGGATTTATCTGAGGTATTCTTGTCTGAATATTTTAATGAAATTTCTAGGCCATTGGGACAGAGTGAAAGTTCATGCTCATGAAAAGAGTTTAAAACACATTTGTATTGATCAAAGTTGAATTTTTGGCCATAAACTGTGAGGAATTTTTTCCAAAATAAAAACTTAACGATTTTGTGAAGCACAGCGTCTGAAATGTTGTTATTCTCCAAATTCTACTTAGTTCAAAATCATTAGATGTATTCAGTTAGTTGAAGACAAAATATGGAAATTAAAATTGGATTTTATGTATGCCAGCGAGATCTCGGGAGACCCTTCCTAAAATATTAATTTGCGTAAACAAATTGATCCATTTAAAGGAAAGAACTCAAAATTAGAGTCTAAATCGAACTGAAAGGTACACGAAAGCATATCATGCTCAAATAAATTCACCCCGGCATCGTTTCGTACCTCTTTCCCAGTAACTGTTTAGAATTCATACAAATCAATGTATTTGTAGAGATATCAATCTTGTCAAAGTTTATTTGCAGAATTTCCACAATTAACAAAAGTACCTTTTCGATCGTTCGAACGCATTTGTTGATCTTCTAATAACAGATCTTACCTTCCCGTGATAACAAATGCGATATACACCCTGTGCTATGAGAAAATGATGCATAAACTTGATTGATTCACAGCTTGCAGGACTCCACAAAGTAAAAACTTGCAAATTTTGTTAAGTGAGGACATGAAAGGACAGTATGGATAAAGTCAAAATGTCCTTCCCTTGATACTTTTTTATATGAAAGATAGGGGGTCATTTCTCGATTTGAACGAAAATAGAAGAATGGAATTCAGCTTCCTCTGAACTCCCCAGTCTGTGTGTGTCGCCGTCAATTGTGTGATACATCGAAATCGCCAAGAACTGTAGCACGGGAATTTACATGGAAGGTCTCGAAAGTTGCGATACTTTGCGCGAAAGGAAATTTGTTAGCCTCCTTTAATTTCGGACGATTTACCAAAAGTCGTTTCCATTCCGACATAGTTGGTTCATGGGCTGAAAGGAGAGACAAAGAAACGGAGATTATAGGAAACACAAATCAAAATGGATGGCATTTTTGGAACACTAATTTCATAAAAATGCCAAAGAAAGAGTCGCAGTTAAGGTACTTTATTGCAGAAAATCATTCTCCTGGATCAGAATTTTTAGGAAAAATGATATAAACCAAGACTTACAACACCATTCAGGATTTTATCGAATTATTCTGCCTTCCTTATTCGAGTAATGTGATAATTAATCTCGAACTTTTACTACCAGGGAAAAATGACTTACAATTTCAGTAGTTCCATTCCCAATTACTCAATATTACTTTCAAAACAACCTTTGAGATGGTCTATTAACCCTTCGTTCTTTTGTTTTGTTTATACCTTTTTGAAAGCATCTTGCTTATCAAGGATGATTAGACATGTGGAAATATAACTTACAAGATTAGCTGAACAAGATTAGCCACACTATGTATAGTTTAAATGAATTATATCCCTTGCCATATTCAAGCAGAAGGAAAATTACTTTAAAACCCTTACTACATGCGAAAAAAATAATCCACAATTTTAACACTTTCAAACACCCAATTATAATCCTCGCAAAAAAAAATTCGCGATGAAAGCAGAACAGAACCATTTTATCATCATTTCTTTTGTTTTTTTTTGGACCTTTGTTAAGACCCCGGCTGATCAGAGATTACTGTATGTGTCAATTGCTGAGCCAAATAATACAACTGTTAGCGTCTGAGAAAATCACCTCTTAGAAAAAACAAGAGTAATTAAATTTAGAGTCAAGGATGGCTTGATTGTCTCAAAGGCTATCTTTTACCTTCTTCAGCTTTTTTCAGAAATTACTGTTGCATTGTGCCATGTTGATATATTTCTTCAAGCTGATGACAATCCCTGCCAGAGTTTGTTGTCAGAAGCTGTAATTGCTATCGCTCTTTGATGCAAATACCAATTTACCCTTGAGCCTCTGAAGTGGTCTTTTTCGATTTATTTTCAGTTCTCCCACAAAGAAAAATGTTTTCCATCTTCGCCAGCAAGTTGCAGTGAAATTTAACCAGTTTTCGTGTGTGTGTACCCACGAATAGCACAGTATTCATCTCACTCAGAGAATAACGTTTTTTAACTAGCAAGGTTATAAATCATCTGTGTGACGTATACGGAAAAATGTCTTCAAACTTGAGTGGAATATCACATGGTACTCATAGTTTCTTACAGCCATTGGACTATTTCAATCCTACAACAGGAAAAATCGCTAGAGCTTTTGCTTAGTGGCTGATACATGTTGTTTCAGTATGTTAAGTATGATCCGCTTTAATTGATTTATATCTTATCACAGATTGTATGATGTTTAATTTGAAATAGGTAAGACTTTCAATCAAACGCGCTCGCACTTCATTACGTAACTCGCTCGCATTTGATTTTAATTAATAACTTGTTTTCTATTTTCGTATCGATACACGGTCAGCGTATACCCATAAGACATTTGAGGTTTAGCTATGTTTCATGCACGAGGCTCATTCTTCAGGTACAATAGATTTATATCATTTGTATTTTAATTTCCTTTTGATTTCAAATTAGTTATTTCTGTCTTCGTTTAGTTTCTATTTCATTTTGTAACGTTTATATGGCAACGCCACGCCTCAAATGTTAGCGGAATGTCGTCGCGGATAATGCCAAATTAAAGTTATCATTGTCTTTCAGGATAATTAAATATTATAGGATTCCTTGTGTCGGAATCGTGCGTTTGTTTGTACCACGGTAGTTGGAAATACATTCATCACCATCACTGTGCACAAGACGAAGAGTACGAGGAAACCCACCAACTTTTTATCTTAAAAAACTAATGGTCATGTCTGATCTGCTGATCCCATTTTTCTATTCCCGCACATTTTAACAGTAATGTTCAACGAATCCTGGTCGATCGGTGATTCTCTTGGCCAGACCTGGCTTAAGTCAGTACACTTGAAAACAAAACAAAACAAAAAAAAAATAGCGCTCATACATTAAACCATTACCTTTTTAGACACAATATCACCCGCCTTTGCCAAACCTCAAGAATATACAGATGGCAAACGAAAGTCATTTTAAGATATCCTGATAACAGCTAAGCTTTCAGGTCAGAAGATTTAAAAATGCAAGCGAATTGCAGGAGTCGAACAAGTCTATCAACGCCTTTTAACGATCGACTACCTTTTGCTTTCCGGCTTACCCAGCGTGTCGCCGTATGCATTGTAGAGTCATTCATCGGTCAAGTGACTCCTTTCATTACTCTTATTCAACTGTCCTTCATTCAATGATCAACATAGTAGATTTACCATACAGCACTTACGATTAGTTAATTTGCTTTTACTTAGGAAAGGAGATTTACTACACAATTGATTATACAACAGTAACGGTGTGTAACGCAACAACAGGCCTTAGGGTCTAATCATCGATCTCAAACACCAGCACGTAAAATGCTAGAAACATATGTACCGCTAGAGAGCGTTTGGTCAGAGCTGTTGAAGAAGGATCAAAGCGGCCATCCAAATCTTTGAAAGGCTCCAAACCACGACATGCATCAACTTTGACCGGCCTTCTCGAAAACCGGTCTCAAATTACACGCTAAAAAAACGATGATTGCGTTTGTCCTTGAGCACCATAGAATACGCGACAAATACGCACAAAAAATACTTTTACATATTCAGAATAAATCAAATTACATTTCACTAAGGTGACAAAAAACAGGAACGGCCTAACTTTTACGGAAAGATCAGTCAAAATCTGCCGATTTCTCCTACTTTCACCGCCATATTGAAAATGAAGCTAACACAATGCAAAGCAATCGGAGTGCGCACACCATCTAATTTTCGCCATATTACGCAAAAACGAAAATTCCGGAACACCCACACTTCTTCCTAGAAACCATACAAATGTAATGTTAAGACACTTAATAAATTTACTTTCAAAGCTTATTGAAGTAGAGACTTTTAAAGATATTTTCTTCCAAAATCTGATATCTCCATATTCTATACAGGGTATCCACTAGTTAACCATTCTGTCACTTTGAATTAACAGTTGGTTCTTTCTTAGCGTGCGCTCATGGCCGATAAACGGGAGTTTTAGACAGCGACAGAGAAGTTGCTCGAGGCGTCGTTTCAAAACTTCCCACGGCACGCGCTCCATATCTCCATTAACGCACGTATGAACAAATTGTTTTAAAACAACGTAAACGCAGTTGTTTGGATATTGTTTTCTTGCAGTTTAAAACTTTTGGGAAAAGACGGCGCTCCATAAATGTAAAATAAATCGAATTTTTTACTAAAAAATACTCTACGGAAATAAAGGTTTAACAACTTGCTCTTAAACTAAAACAAATAATAGTTTTAGCCAAAATGTACTTTTGAGTATTTTAAAATCTTATCGCCAAGTAGTCTTTACTATTTTTATCTAACATTTAGATCAATGGAGAATGGAATCATTTAGTGGCACTTTGAAAAATTCTGACTGCCGGCCATTTGGTCCGTGCCCGGCAATCTGATCAGAAGCGTACAAAGTGTCGACAACCGGGCGATATTATAGGCTGCACAACACGGAGAATTTGTCCACTTAAAAGCCAAATTAATCTTTGACATTTTAAAATAAACATCTGATAATCTGAACAAGTTTGAAAGAACCTTTCGGTGGAAATTCTGTCAAAATTTTCTGACTGCCAGACATTTCGTCTCTTTTAGAACGCAAGTAATTTAGTGTTAACAACAGAGTTGAAAACTTAAATGGGTCACCGTAAAGGGTGAAAAAGCTGACGCTTCGAGCGTTAGCCCTTTGTCATAGAGAGAGAATTCTGAATTTTTTCGCTCATAAATGGTATATTTAGTTTTTCTTTATAAAAAATGTGAGATAAAAATATTAGAGAATACTCGAAGATCAGATTTCAAAATACTTAAAAGTACATTTTGGCTAAAACTATCATTTTTTCTAGTTTTAGAATACGCTGTCTCGTTCTAAAATAGACGAAATATCTGGCAGTCGACACTTTGTACGCTTCTGATCAGATTGCCGGGCACGGACTAAATGGCCGGCAGTCAGAATTTTTCAAAGTGCCACTTAATGGTTCCATTCTCCATTGATCTAAATGTTGGATAAAAATAGTAAAGACTACTTGGCGATAAGATTTTAAAATACTCAAAAGTACATTTTGGCTAAAACTATTATTTGTTTTAGTTTAAGAGCAAGTTGTTAAACCTTTATTTCCGTAGAGTATTTTTTAGTAAAAAATTCGATTTATTTTACATTTATGGAGCGCCGTCTTTTCCCAAAAGTTTTAAACTGCAAGAAAACAATATCCAAACAACTGCGTTTACGTTGTTTTAAAACAATTTGTTCATACGTGCGTTAATGGAGATATGGAGCGCGTGCCGTGGGAAGTTTTGAAACGACGCCTCGAGCAACTTCTCTGTCGCTGTCTAAAACTCCCGTTTATCGGCCATGAGCGCACGCTAAGAAAGAACCAACTGTTAATTCAAAGTGACAGAATGGTTAACTAGTGGATACCCTGTATAGAATATGGAGATATCAGATTTTGGAAGAAAATATCTTTAAAAGTCTCTACTTCAATAAGCTTTGAAAGTAAATTTATTAAGTGTCTTAACATTACATTTGTATGGTTTCTAGGAAGAAGTGTGGGTGTTCCGGAATTTTCGTTTTTGCGTAATATGGCGAAAATTAGATGGTGTGCGCACTCCGATTGCTTTGCATTGTGTTAGCTTCATTTTCAATATGGCGGTGAAAGTAGGAGAAATCGGCAGATTTTGACTGATCTTTCCGTAAAAGTTAGGCCGTTCCTGTTTTTTGTCACCTTAGTAAAATGTAATTTGATTTATTCTGAATATGTAAAAGTATTTTTTGTGCGTATTTGTCGCGTATTCTATGGTGCTCAAGGACAAACGCAATCACCGTTTTTTAGCATGTAATTTAAGACCGGTTTTCGAGAAGGCCGGTCAAAGTTGATGCATGTCGTAGTTTGGAGCAAATATATATATACTCTCCTACCGACGCAGCACCCCAGTTTCTTTAGAAACTTACCTCCTTTATTTATCTTAGAACGCGCCTGGTTGCAGGGCATTTAGAGACAGCGTATTCTGAAACTAGAAAAAGCTTTAGCCAAAATGTACTTTTAAGTATTTTGAAATCTGATCTTCGAGTATTCTCTAATATTTTTATCTAACATTTTTATCAAAATGGTAGAAAAAAATTATTATACAATACTTAGCGATCAGATTACAAAATCGGTTTGCACATTTGAGGTTTGACAGAATACCACTTGCTAATCGAAAACTATGACTATGAGGCGAGACAAATATTACAATTAAATATTTTGTGAAAAAGCTTTATTTAAACAAAAAATAAATATACCATTCACAAGCGAAAAATGTCAGAATTCTTTGCGTTTAAGCGACCCGCGTAAGAGATTCGCCATGCTTGAGGCATTGTCTACTTTGTAGACGTGTCGTGGTCTAAAATAACCATTCGAGACCAGTTGATTGGCATGCCCACACATGTCTATCTCTAGTGACTATATAAGCATGTACTTCATAGTTCATTTAGTAGCATGCGCGACACAAATCAGGGAGAGGTCAGTAAAAAGTATTCAAAGAGAATCAAATTGTAAGAGTCGAAGAAATTCACCAGAGTTCCACAGACTGAGGTAAAATTTAATGCAAGTAGGATTGATTGTGTATTAGAGAACCAAGAAAGGCAGATCGAGAGTACTTGGTGCCTTTCGCTGGGTATGGTGGGCTTGGCAGCGCATAGTTTTCTAAGTGCGACAACATTATTCTGAACTCTTCAGTAACGTGGTTTTTTGCTCAGGTAATGTAATGTTCGCAACATCATTAGTATGAAAATAGTAGCCACCATCGACCGTGTATTTGCTTCCCACAATTTAGGAAATACTTAAAGACTGAAGTGGTTAGGATTTTGAGACAAATTTATGATAAATTCAACAGAAACATTGATACCAGTGATAAGGTTTTTTTTGTCTGCGGTAAAGAACTGCCGGCTTGAAGTGAAGATTAGCTTAATTGTTTTATAAAGGACATTCAACTCTTTAAAAACATGTTTTGACAGTTCTTCTGTCATCTTCAGTTCTGAATAATACAATATGGCAGCTCTGTTATTTACTGTTCTTTCTAGATTCCTTGACCTGGCTAATTCATGTACACTCTGACACAGAGTCTGTCATGTGACCCTTTAATATAAAAGCCACCTGATCGTTATGAAGGTTATTCAAGGTCTTTCCACTTAAGAGTACGCCACACTCTTAACTGACAAATTCTTAACCGGAAATTTTGTCTTTGATGGGTGTACCGTGGCGGTAGTGGTATTCCTACCTGCACTTAACTCATATTGCGTTATAATAACAAACAAATACTGCGATAAAAATGCGTGCCTACGGTTCCACCCACCCAAAATTGTCAGGCCAACGAACTTGATGTCAATCATTCATGACCAAATATAGTCAAAACATGAGATTAGTCAACCTACTCTGCGCAGTGAAACAAGGATTTTGATTGATTAACACAAGCAGCTGTGACCGCATGGGTCTGAAGCTGCTCGCTTGTATACATTTCTAGATCAGGTATACACAGTTTTAGTTCAGCTACAAGACTCTCAAACTTCGCAACCTCAAGACAGCTGTGCACCCATGAACAGATTTAAGACCATCACTCCACAAGCTTATTGAAGCAAAGATATAAAAAACCGTTGGTTCAAACAATTTCTTTTCATGATATTTTCTTCCAACATCTGATATCTCCATTTTCTATACAGGGTATCCACTAGTTAACCATACTGTCACTTTGAATTAACAATTGGTTCATACTTTAGCATGTGCTCTGATCTTCGAGTATTCCTTAATATTTTTAACTGACATTGTTATCAAAGTGGTAGAAAGATCTAATTAGTCTAATTAATCTAATTAGATCGAAAAACTAAATATACCATTTATGAGCGAAAAATGTCAGAATTCTTTGCGTGTAAGCGACCCGCGTAATAGATTCGCCATGCTTGAGTTATTTTCTACTTTCTAGACGTCGTGGTCTAAAATAACCATTCAAGGCCAGTTGATTGGCATGCCCACACATGTCTATCTATAGTGACTATATAAGCATGTAATTCATAGTTCATTTAGTAGCATGCGCAGCACAAATCAGGGAGAGGTCAGTAAAAAGTATTCAGAGAGAATCAAATTGTAAGAGTCGAAGAAATTAACCAGAGTTCCACAGACTGGGGTAAAATTGGATGTAAGTAGAACCGAGAAAGGCAGATCGAGAGTACTTAGTGCCTTTCGCTGAGTATGGTGGGCTTCACAGCGCATAGTTTCCTCCTTAAGTGCGACCCAAGATTATTCTAAACTCTTCAGTAACGTGGTTTTTTGCTCAGGTAATGTAATGTTCGCAACATTATTAGTATGAAAACAGTTGCCTTGAAACTGTAATTTCGATGAACATTTAAAATTTACATTGGACTCTTCCATTCCAAAGTATTGTGAAGCATTGAAGACGAGTGAAAGCGAATGCAATGAAGTTCTCTTAGTTTTTCCGATGATACATGGTTTTTTGCCGCAGATAAATGGTAACCAGAAATTAGTGTTGTATGGTGAACAGCTTGTTCTTGATTCATTCCATTGTATGGTTTTTGTTCTGATTGTCATGTTTTGTTTACCTATAAAATGTAACACCATCGACCGTGTATTTGCTTCCCACAATTTCGGAAATAATATAAGAAGTGGTTAGGATTTTGAGGCAAATTTATGATAAATTCAACAGAAACATCGAGACTAATGATACTGTTTGCTTTGTCTGCCGTAGAGAACTGCACTTGACATGAAGATTAGAACACTACTGAACTAGCAGTTGAAAGTAAGACCTGAAAAAGTTCAGGCCAGTACGGGATTTGAACCCATGACCTCTGCGTTACCGGTGCAGCGCTCTACCAACTGAGCTAACAAGCCAACTGGGACTTGGTTAATATGCTGGGTTCAAATAAACCATCCAAGTGATGAATAATGATATTAGATATATGAAATTCATATATTTGCACTGCGGTGAAGAGACGAATATAAGAGATTCTCGCAGCTAAGAACACTGCTGGATTAGTAGTTGAAAGTAAGACCTGAAAAACATTCAGGCCTGTACGGGTCAACATATTGACCAGCTGCTAGTTGGCTTTGTTATCTCAGTTGGTAGAGCGCTGCACCGGTATCGCAAAGGTCCTGGGTTCAAATCCCGCACGTACCTGAATTTTTTGCACTGGTATCGCAGAGGTCCTAGGTTCAAATCCCGTTCTGGTCTGAATTTTTTTCAGGTCTTATTACAACTACTAGCTCAGTAGTGTTCTTAGCTGCGAGGACCTCTTATATTCGTCTCTTCACCGCAGTGCAAATATATGAATTTCATATATCTAAAATCATTGTTGTATCTAATATTAGTGATCATTCCTTGCAATTTTGCATCTTAAAATCTGTGAAGGATAAAGTAAAGGTTAACAAATTTAAAGTGCGAAACTTCTCACAGTTTTCTGCTGATTGTTTCAATGCCGAACTTTCCCAAGTTGACTGGAATGCTATTGTTGAAAGGAAATCGTGTGATGTGAATGATTTGTTCTCTTCTTTTTATAACAAGTTTAATAAGCTTGTCAACAAACAAGCACCTATGAAGACAATTTCAAATCGTAAAGCAAAACAGCTCTCCAAACCATGGATAACTCAAGGCTTACGCACCTCCATTGAGATTAAAAACAAATTATATGCATCTGGTGATGTCTCTAAGTACAGAACTTGTAGAAACAAAATTTGTAGCCGAACACGTAAGTAAACAACAATACCATTTAAATTTTTTTGACTCTAACTTGACTAATATGAAAAAAACGTGGAAAGGAATTACCGTAATTTCCGTCCATTTTCCCAGCACGGCAGATTACCCGCATCGGTCAATTTTTGCAATAACGAGAAAAACATTTCAAAAGATTACCCGCGCTGCCAGATGACTCGCACCCCAAAAACAAAAGAAAATCGTCGACTCGCACAAAGTTCCTTCATTGTTTTTGTTGACATGATATCCTTAGGCGTGCAATTAATAAATTTTCACACTTTTTGTCTTCGCTGTTCACTGAGAATGATAACACTTCTAAAAATCTGTTGTAACAAAATCGATATCTCGAGATTTTTAGTTGAAGAAATCCCTTGAAAGGCAATGCTAGATAAGAAATTTCACTGATGCTTCGAAAAGTCTGTCGCATCATTAATTATGCGGCGCCACGAAATGAACATGTCAGCATCATTTTTCGTGTGAATTGCCCTGAAGCCAGCTTTTTCAAAATTAAATTCTTTTATTTTCAAGTTCACTTCACGTGTAAGTGAGAATTGTTTTTTGAAATTAAAAAGAAGCAAGCTGTGAAATTGACCAGGTAAGAAAGTAAGAGTACAAAAAAGGTAAAAGCTTTGTTTTCGAGTTTTGTATGTTTTCGATTTGCATCGGCTTTCACCGAGAGCATTAAGAACAAGTCTCTGTAAGAATCAAACATCTTGGGAAATGAAAATTTTCAACCCCCCTTCAAATTTTGCATGCAGTTAGGCACTCAGGGGGGATGCACAAAAATACCCTTTTTAAAGGATGCAGCACTCTTGTTGCCATGGTAACAACGACTGCTTGTTCCAGGCCTGGGGCCTCATTTTCATACAAAACGTCGCAAAAAAGAGTGAAATGTTTATTTCTCTATCTCAAGCTAAATACAACATTATAAATTGGCACTTCTACCATAAATAGTAACATCATTCGTCTTCACTTTGATACATTTTATTTCCCCTGGGATTGAATGTGAACACGGTAATAGATTATTTATCTCGGTACAGTTTCGGTCATTTTTGTTGTCGGGTAAAACTGGGAAAACGTTTATCTGAATTTCTCCAAAAGTACACACCTATCTTGTTATAATATTCTAGTTTTTAAATATGTAAAACTCTCTGCGAGCCTGCCTCTACTTTTTATAGGGGCAATGCGCGAAAAAAGGTCCAAATCAGATATTGCATAATTTGGCGATGTTCACATCTAATGTTCTCAACAACAAACGTTTCAGACAAATGAAACATGTGAGGCTATGAAAGAATGTTATCTTATGAGCAATATCCCGAAGAGCAATCTCACCTCTAGTTTTCATCTTTTGGAAAAAATTGATCAACCTTCTTGGAGGACAACTCGACGTAACTACAAACATATACCTCAAATCGCGTGCATTTCATCCAGATTCAGAGCGCTGCACCTTTTTTCATGGGAATTTGAGCGATCTGAAGTCCTCTGAAGATACACTGTTATACTTGTATGTCATTTGAAACATGTCGAAGTCGAGTGATCTACACAAAACTATCTTCACACCGGTCATTTGTCATAAACATGTACGTTGTCACGATGGCGTGAAGCTGTATTTCTCCGTGAAGATTCCATCGGTCGCTCCAAAGAAGACGACAAATAGATATTTTTCATATATGTCAGAAGATTTCCACTTTCTGAAGTAAAAACAACCAAAAAAAAAAAGAGGAAAACTTCGATTGAACGGTCGTAAACACTGAGAATCTGAGAGCGTAAATCGTAACTTGTCAGCGGCAGTACTACATGTCAAACCCAGTTGCAAGCAATTTGAACGACATAGGCATCCCCTTACAAATAGCAGATTCGGGCAGTTTTCATTTCCTTGTGACAGTAAATAAGATATTTCGAATCATCTGAAAACTGTCAGAAAACTGTTAGAAAATTTGCATAAGATATGATGAGGAGAGACTTATCACCGACGCAGTGCAATCGAGTCAATCAATGTTTCCTTCCATGTCTTGAAAGAGAAAAAATCATAACAAAGTTTGAAATAAAAGAATTAATGAAATCATAATGTCATAATTCCACATTTCAAACAACTTATTATCCACACGTAAATCGCAACTTGTCACTTAAACGAAACTCTCCATGGTTAATATGAAATATGGATTGCTTCATGTCCTTCAGGAAAAAGAACAGCGATTTCGTCACCATTATTTTCCATACTTTTCTCCCGGATATCTTTTACAAGCTTAAAGAAAGATGAATATAATGCAATCTCCCAGTGATTTACACGAGAGGAAGTCAAAGGTCTCTTTAATTTCCCCCTGATGTTCACTCCATCTCAATGTGGCTTTCGCAAGGCACATTCTACTCAGCATGCAATCCTTGATATTGTGAATGCAATACAGACAAATATGAACAACCGTTTATTCTCGTGCGGGATTTTCATTGATCCGAAAAAGGCTTTTGATACTGTAGATCACGAAATTCTTTTGCGCAAGTTAGATCACTATGTTTTCACGGCATTATACACATCTAATTTCCTTCCTACTTGCAAGGGCGAACTCAAACAACTCAAATTGGTCCTCATATTTCTGAAAGGTTAGATTCTACCTGTGCCTCAGGGTTCTGTTCTAGGCCCACTACTTTTTTTGTTATATATCAATGACATACAGGAATCGTCAGATAAGCTTAGTTTTTACCTTTTTGCGGATGATACAAATTATATTTTGCCCTGCCCAAAGGAAACTTTCTTATCAACCTAAAATCGTGATATTTGATAACAAACAGAACAAGAAAGTGGCTCTGGAGCATAAAGATTATGTCAAATATCTCGGGATTTTAATTGATAAAAATTTGTCTTGGAAACGCCATATTGACCATATAATCATTAAAGTAAGCAGAACCGTAGGATTAATCGCAAAATTACGACACTTTCTTCCAACGCATACCCTCTTAAATATATACCAAGCTCTTATGGCTCCTTACTTAACATACGGTCTGACAGTATGGGGTCAGGCTTGAAAATCTTACCTTGACAAGCTCCTAAAGTTACAGAAACGAGCTGTTCGCTTTATCTATTTTTCTGATCATAATGAGAATGCAATTCCTTTATTTGATAACGCTCATATCTTAACGCTAAAATTTGTTCATTATGAATCTATAGCTAATTTGATGCTTGACGTTCGAAACAGAACAGCTCCATCCAATATTCAAGATTTATTTCAAGATATATATAATGTTCATTCTTACAATACACGTTCTTCTGCCTCTAATAACTTCTATACCAAACCTTCTAGGCTATTCATTCAAGCGAATTCCTTCTCTCGAATAGGAGTAAAAGTGTGGAATGCAATACCTCAAGCATTAAGAAATCTTTCCAAAAATGCGTTAAAAAAAAACACTCAAACAAATTTTATTCAACATATTAGGTTCACAAGACTCTTATATAGATTTATCTGAGATTAAACAAAATGTAAAATCCTGGTAATACTTCTCCTGATCGGTCCTGACTATCTTTATAAACAGTAGCTGTACCTGTAATATTTTAAATTAGGTCAATGTAACGGTTTTTCTTGTTGTTATTCAATACTGTCTCTTTCCCTTCTACTTTATTAGTTAATTTCTGTTTGTAATATCTTTTTGTAATTCGGCTATTAAGGCATGGCCCGCCTAGATTAGCCTTTGCTAGTTGCGGGCAAGCCCTTTTCTGTAAAATTTAATCGTAAATTAATTAAGCGGCGTGTTTGTGTGAAGTGTGTGTGTGTGTGCTTTCACAACTTTTCAACTTAAAATTATAAAAGCTATTCACACTCAGTAGGAGAAACCTACACTTAATCATTAACTTTATCATGTTAATTTAAAACTTTCCTTGTAAATGCATACATTGTTCTGTTACTATCGTTTGTTACTATCGTCCAATCAGCATTTTGTTACACACTTTAAATTCAACTTTGTACTTTGTATTATTCAGAACATTCAACTCTGTAAATCACTGCAGTTATTCATTGCTTGTTACCAGTCAGAAGGCTAAGTTATGAATTTTTTCAACTTGTTACTCAAAGAACAGCTCGGCTAAGAACGTGGATGGGAAATGAATTGCTTTTGTCAACGTCGTCTTCCAAGGATCGCTTTGTCAGTCAATCATCAACCTTACAGAGTGGCGCAAAAGGCGAGTGACGTGTCAGCGAGTGACGTGTGAAAAAAATTACCGTAATTTTACACGTTTGCTGTTAAGGCTCTTCTCAGGGCTTGAAATCATTACAAAGCACCGCACTTCATATAATATAAGCCTTCATCAGACAAGTGTATATGACATTTTGCATTTTGTCCCTCAATATAGGATGGATGAGAAGCAGTTAAAAGCAAGCTTAATGAAGTATTTCGGAGAAACAACAGCAAAAGTAACCAAAGAAACAACCGAAGATGAAATCAAGCGTATCTATGCTGCACGGTCAGCAACATATGACGAGGTACTCTAAAATAGTAACATAATAATAATAAGGGTCTGGGGGACGATGTGGCACATTGCCGTTTGACCCACCGGACAACTGATGCATCACTCAGCGTTGCGTTTCTCGAATGTTCCAGTACTACTGGAAATGGGCCCAAGGCGACACCAGACTTGTGTCGTCTTTATCGAACATCTCTAATCGTAATAACCGGCTTGAACTTTCTCATCTTATAGGAACATTCAGCGGCGCGCACTTCATATTTCAAGCCACTGGCCGAGTCTTTACATAAAGCCCTTAAAGAAGTTTACCAGGACAAACCAATGGATCAAATCAAAATCATTGACGCTGGAGCTGGGACAGGTCTGATTGGAGTTGAGCTCAAGAAACTCGGATACACCAACCTATGCGCTTTGGACATCTCAGCTGAGATGTTAACGGAAGCAAAGAAGAAAGAGATCTATACTGAATTCATTTGCACGTCTTTGAACGGGCAGCCGATACCTCAAATTAAATCTGGGCAATTCGATGCTTTGATTTGTGGTGGGGCGCTCATTACAGGACGTATCAGCTCCTCTGCTTTCGTGGAGATGATAAGAATGGTTCAAACTGGTGGGTCTGAGTATGATTTTAGATTGAGGACCTAACATGTGAAATCTTCTCACAAGTTTTTTGCTGGTCTGTTTTTTTTGTTTTTTTTGGAAACTCAAATCGTGAGATAGATCAGGTAATGAAGACACGTGTAACACCCTTCTTGATGAATTCCCTTGACATCTGGCATCTGACCCTCAAATCATCTGCTGGGGTCAAATCTTCTCTCTGAAAATTCGCTTAAAGAATTTTTTGATGTATCAAGAGCACGCCCCCAAGCTGGTCTCTTCAACTTCTCTTTGGATGATGTCATAGGTTATAGGTTAACCAACTCTTTGAGTTAAATCTAATGAATACATGGACAAAAAGGAAAAGAATAATGAAAATTTCCTATGATAAAACCAGTTACAAGATCCGCACTAAATTCCAATGTTAACTTCTTTGCAGATGGCGTCCTCTGTTTCAACATAATGAAAGAGGAATTAGAACACTATCAAGAAATGATGACGGAGCTGGAAAAAGCTGGCGAATGGATGTGCATGTGCAAAGAGTCTTCAGCTTTCTATGCAGCCGAGGACTTGCCCAGTGAATGCTGGGGGTTCGTTTACAAAGTTTTAAAGAATTAAGAAACATGTACCATTACAATTAAGCCTACCTCATTTAGGCCATACTGGATAATCATTGTTTTAGCTGACATAAAACATCAGTTGTAATGCTGCTGTGAAGTTTTGATGTTTAAAAAGCAAGTATATGAAATAAATCAAACTGTTTAAACGACATTATCCTGATGTTGTACTTACGTTTTCGCACTTTCACCCATTTCAAATATTCTTTCAAGGCTTGTGTTTCGTTTCCTGATATGTTTAGTTGTATTTTAATGCAAATTAAAATTTCGAAATTACCAATACATTTTTCAGCATCGAGGAGTTCTCTATTTTCAAAATAGAGCCATTTTTAACTTCAGTTTTTCTTCGCTCGACACCGGAAAGCTGTAAAATATGAGCTGTGACATTTTATTTCCTAAGCATAAGAAAGATTAGAAAATGTGTTTAGATAAATGTTAGCAATTTCAAAATCCGTAACTAATCCCTTTAGAAACGAAACAAGTTTGCATTAATTCACATGATGGCCACTGAAACTTGGAAAATATTTCACAATAGCTTACTCTCTATAGCAAACGAGCCATGAAGAACATAATGACCAGCTCACAGTTGGCTTGTTAGCTCAGTTGGTAGATCATTTCATCGGCAATGAAGAGGGTTCAAATTAATTGGGACAGAAAACTAGGTAACACAAAGACAATAAAAGAACTACAATAAATACATTTTGGGTCGCTTGTTTCAGGTTGAACAAGCTCTAACAAAGAAAGGGCTAACAATCGCATTACCTCGAAAAATCGAGAAAAAGCTGCCGGTCATCACTGCTGCGAGTAGCATTAGCAGAAGCAGAAGTAGCACCAAACCGGGTGGATTTGTCTTTCTGCAGACTTTATCCTGCGCTTTCTTGATAATTTCTCATCTTCCGAGTTGTCTGCGAGATTATCTTGCTCATATTCTTGGACAACAAACCATCGGCTAATTTAATCAATTTTTGTCGTTTGCGGATTAAAGTCAAAGAAGTTTCCAAAGATTTTAAGCCAGACGTGCTCTCCTCTTCTCAGAGAATCAAGCGCCGAGGAATAGTGATCTTCTACCACCTCATTAAAGTTATCAGTAATTAACGGATGGTTATACATGTTTTCAGCGATATGCTGATAATCATATCATATGCAAGGGACTGATTCAAGAAAAAATAAATCATGGAAATTAATTAAACATACTGTGGTCAAGAAACTTAAAAAGCATAAGCTCACTACCATACTTTAAAATTGATGGAAGGTAAGAGAACAGTTGAGAGTACGAAATGAAAGGCAATTCTAAAATAGACGAAATGTCTAGCAGTCAGAAATTTTCACAGAATTTCCACCGAAAAGTCCTTTCAAACTTGTTAAGATTATCAGATGTTTATTTAGAAATGTCAAAGATTAATTTGGCTTTTCAGCGCACAAATTCTCTGAGGTATTTATTTGTTGTTGGCAGATTTTAAAGAGGAATTAGTGAAAAGATGTTAAATATTGGTAGTGATTGCTAATAGTAATAGTAATAATAATTAGCAGAGAAACATTTTCGTGGATTATAGTTCAAGAGATATTGAGACATGATTTTTTCTTCTCTTTATTTCCTACCGTCAGATGTACGGTCTGCCAATTTTTTTACGGTAGCTAATTTGCCAGTCAGGTCTTTCAGTTGAGTCGTTCCTTATCCATACAGATGTTACAAGAAATGCCTTAATTTACTGAGCGTTGTTGTATTTTAGGAGCCGTGCGGTTAGCGCCAATTGTTGTTACTCAATAAACAAAGACTTTGTTTCCTCACAACTTTTTATTAATTAAGAAAAAAATGATCGGTGAGTTCAACAGATTTGATCGGGTAAATTTTCTACCATTGGAAATACAAGAAGCTAGCCTAGCACACGCAGATAATATTTACACCAGATACAAATATATCTTCTATCCTACATGGGAGTACATAACAACCCAATGTTTTTATGAATAAACCTAAATTGTTAGTAATCGTCGTTATAAATGTAATTACAAACTGTTCTGTTTCTGGTAATATCAACTAAGTTGAAATTATAAATTGGCCACCGTAAAGAGTTCAAAAGCTGACGTTTCGAGCGTTAGCCATTCATTAGTCTGATGAAGAGCTAAGGCTCGAAACGTCAGCTTTTGAACTTTTTATGGTGGCCGATTTACAATTTCAACTTAGTTAATATTACCAAATCATCTTGTTACCCCCACTGACGCAGCACCAGAGTTTCTTTAGAAACTTATCCCCTTTGTTTCTGGTCTGTTATGACGACGGCAAACATACTTCTCCATTATAACAGAGGATGGAAAAAAAATCACACTTACCTTACACAAGGCACTGATGAGGAAGTCGCAAGTTTAAACAATAGGCTGTTTTACCTTGCGCTTAGCAATGATTTAATTGCTTTTGTTCACGATGAGGTGACCCTAAGGGGTTTTATTCATTTGTTCTAAACAACCGTGTGCAAAAGAGGTACTTTGCATAAGTGTGATGTAGTCAACTACAAAATAAGAAACTCACAAAATCATCGAAATTTAGACCCGTTTCTCGCTATTGCTAGCTGACTAGACTCCAACAAGGAGAAGAAAATAATAAGTCCTTACGTCAGTATGCAGCTTTAGAGCAAGGCCTCACGATAAAGTTTTAAACGGTAGTCGTCAAAAACGTTAATAGTAAAAATATTTTTGGTAACCAGCGTAAGGGAAAATAACCTAACCGTTAGCCGTAAAGTGGCCACAATTTTATCCTTTAAACTTACCAGCCATCAACCCATTGAAACCCTCCACTATTTGGTGCATCTATTTATTACTATTGTTCATTTATTATTTCTTTTTGAAAGTTCAATCTCAATCAACGCCGGTAGGCCGGTTGCCGAACACTGTTGCAACGGCACGAAGTTAACGCGTCATCGTTGAAACTCCATAAAAATCCAACCCACACTTAAAATGGGACTAATTCGGTAATCACCTTGGCCTGTTGAAGAGATTAAACTGAAGGCGTTATCCAAAGATGGCAGGCTTTAAATTGTGAACGAAGGTATGGTTTTTTTACCGCACGAGATAGTAAAGAAATTATTTTGTACAATTCCTCTCCGCTTAAAGAACTGAGTATATGCCCAAAATTCGCATTTCCATTTCAATGATAATGAATTATTTTTAGTTTGTGCGCACAAATATTGCAACTTCTCCTTTTTAGTGGGCACGGTCAATTTTAAATAAACGTCATCTTTTTTTTTTAACGCAGCGACCATCTTAACGCGCGGGGCTGACATAAATGTATTTCGTATTTAATTGAAGAACAACAACGGGGAAAAGGCGCTTTTCGGAGATAACCTATAAGGGAACTTGCTATCGATTACTAGCTTTAGTCCCTCTTTCATCGGGCGCGTGCATTGGCACAAACTTCATTTAATCTATCTCCTTTTCAACTTATATAGTAACGACTTTTACATGCGTCTGCATGCTGCTACATAAAACTGTCATATAAGTTGCAAGTGTTCATAGCACAATTTGGATTTTCACTTGACTGCTACGTGATAAATAAACCGACTTAAGAAAAAAAACCCTCAAAACAACACTAAAAGTACCGTGGGTTACAATAATAATTATCGACGTACTTAAGGTGTTGTTTTAGAACGCATTTTTCCCATTCGATGTAGAAGACCTCTTTGATGTTAATTCAAAACTTCTAGAAGCAAGAGCATCCACCATAAAAGTCGCATCTATACGCGTCTATATATTCAGTGGAGAAGAAAGCTTAAACCGGCCATTTTAATTTGTTCAAAAACGATAAAGGGTCTTTCCTTAACAATACTGGCGCTGCTGAGGATGCATAAAAAGAAGAAGTGTGAGATCAAACAGTTTTTTCGAGGAGTTCCCCAGAGTGCCACTTGGTAAACTCCTGCAGAAGGTTTATTTCTTCTCTGCTGAGGACTCCCAGCGACGAATTTCCAGGTACCTGGATTTAAATACAAGCTTGATAAGAAAATTAGTAGGCACTTACAGGATGGCTGCCCAAGAAACCTTCAGGACAGGCCAATCACGTCCTTTGGACTGGTGTAAGATGCGACGAGAGTAAATTCAACCACAAATCAAAGCTAAAAATCACTATTTTTTCAAGTATATACTAACACGGTAAATAGCGTCGTAGAAGCGCTCTGATCGGCCTGCACTCAAACTTTGAACATCCTTTGCCAATCACCTCCGAGCAACTTGCCCACTATTGGCACACAAAAATTATGGCAACCATTTATAGCAGGAATAAACGAGTTTAAAAAAATCACCTTTTTGTGCCATATTATATTACTGATATAGTATATACTAGGCAAATGTTCACCTCCAATCATTTCAATATTTTTGAAATATAAATATTTTCATAACCTTACTGTTCCTTGATTTTCTGGAACATGTGGTTCGCAAGCCGAAGTAGGTGGGAATGTGACAACAAAAAGCACTCAGGGCGCTTTAATATCAAAATTATTTCATACAGGTGAATGATAATTACACATAGCTGGGATAAAGCCTAAAGCAAATCTTAATGGGACAAAAATCATCCACCTCAAATATATATATATTTTTTCATTATTTCAGAACAACTGGGGAAGACGTGCACAAAGGTACACATGGGTTTTTGGGATTGTTGCGACACAACATTTACCTGCAAAAAGCTACTTCGATGAAGTGGAAAGACGAGATATGGCCATCCTCCATCCCATCATTTCAAGGTGTGTTCTCCCTGGAACCGAAGTGCACTCGGATGACTTGGCCTCCTACCGGCAGACGGACCAAAGAATTAACAACATAAGTGCACATCAAATGATTGTCTACCGACTCAACTTCGTTGACCCAGTCACTATGGGGTTGACACCCAAGTAAATACGCAACGGTTTTTACTTTCAGTTTTGGAAGAGACAGGTAAAGAAACAATTAAGCTCTGTCCATGACTATGTTGAATAGGTTTTACATAGGTTAGGTCTACTGACCACACTGGTCCGGAAT